TCTTCTGGGAGCAGTACATGACCCTGCGCTCCTCGCTGGCCATGATCCTGGCCTGCGTTCTCCTGGCCGCCTTGGTGCTGGTCTCCCTGCTCCTGCTCTCCGTTTGGGCCGCCGTCCTGGTGATCCTCAGCGTTCTGGCCTCGCTGGCCCAGATCTTCGGAGCGATGACCCTACTGGGCATCAAACTGTCGGCCATTCCAGCAGTCATACTCATTCTCAGCGTGGGCATGATGCTGTGCTTCAATGTGCTGATATCACTGGTGAGTTGCGTCCTTGAATCAAATTAATATATATTTACCTTAATTTTAAAATCCTAAGAATTTCTTATTAACTTATCTTTCTTATTTTTTCAGGGCTTCATGACCTCCGTGGGCAATCGACAGCGCCGCGTGCAGCTGAGCATGCAGATGTCCCTGGGTCCGCTGGTCCATGGAATGCTGACCTCCGGCGTGGCCGTCTTCATGCTCTCCACCTCGCCCTTTGAGTTCGTCATCCGGCACTTCTGCTGGCTCCTGCTGGTGGTGCTGTGCGTGGGCGCCTGCAACAGCCTGGTGGTCTTCCCCATCCTCCTCAGCATGCTGGGCCCGGAGGCGGAGCTGGTGCCGCTGGAGCATCCGGACAGGATATCCACGCCCTCGCCGCTGCCCGTGCGCAGCAGCAAGAGATCGGGCAAGTCGTATGTGGTGCAGGGATCGAGATCCTCGCGAGGCAGCTGCCAGAAGTCGCACCATCATCACCACAAGGACGTCAATGATCCATCGCTGACCACCATCACCGAGGAGCCGCAGTCGTGGAAGTCCAGCAACTCGTCCATCCAGATGCCCAACGACTGGAGCTACCAGCCGCGGGAGTCGCGGCCCTCCTCCTACGCGGCCCCGCCCCCCGCCTACCACAAGGCCGCCGCCCAGCAGCAGCAGCCGCCGCCCCCATTTGCGGCGGCCTATCCGCCGGAGCTGCAGAGCATCGTGGTGCAGCCGGAGGTGACGGTGGAGACGACGCACTCGGACAGCAACACCACCAAGGTGACGGCCACGGCCAACATCAAGGTGGAGCTGGTGACGCCCGGTCGGGCGGTGCGCAGCTACAACTTTACGAGTTAGCACTAGCACTAGTTCCTGTAGCCATAAGCTATCTGTATCTGTAGAGTTTAGCCTAAGCCGTAAGCGTAACCCTAATTGTATCTGTATAATCGATTTGTCCAGCGGGTCTGTTGGGGATTCCACTTTCTTGGATGCCATGAAAAAATATTTTTAAATTTATCAATCTTAAAATTTACTACAAAAAATTAAAACAAATTTGAAGAAATCTGTTAAAGCCTAAATTAAAATCGAAAGAAATCCTTGAAAAGTAGAAAACTGCAGCAGACCTGTGTGTATGTATATGTGTATGCATGTTAGTTAATTTCCCGGAGTCCGGTATTTGTAGCAGCTGCCTTCCCCTTCCACCTCCCTCCCCCACGCCCCCGCCGCCCCTTCTGCCTAGCAGCTTTGTATGTATGTATCTTAGATCGTAAGGATACTTAAACTTATAGATATTTATTGTAACACACGCCACACTCAAACACACACAAACACACTGTACTTACATATATAATTCAAAGCGAGATTCACCCACACAAAAAAACCACACAAACTAGTAATTTGTAGCTCGTAATTTAGTTTAAATATGTACATAAAACACAAGGACTTGAACCAAAATAGTATCGCTTAAACGGAAACGAAAGAAACGAAATGAAATGAAAAAAATAATTTACTATTACTTAATCAAACACAAGAGAAATCCCTCCTCCCCTAAAAAAGGTACTTACAACCAAAATAAAACGAGAGTATAAACTAAATGGAAAACGAAGCGAGGATCGATTGTAAACGCGGCATTTATCCATGTACATTTGTTGCACAAAGACTGACTGTCTTTTTTAAATAAAAATATATATTATACAGTTTTTTAAAAGCGAAATTCATGCGTTTTTTATTCCAATGAGTGGTAAATGGTAACAGGTACAAGGATGTTTTTTCCAATATGTAACATTTATTAACCTAACTTTTTTTATAGTTTTTGGTTTTAAATTAATTTACTTATAAACAAAAAATATATTTTTCATGAAATGTGAAATGTTAAACAAAAAATTGTTCACTAAAGGCAACAGTGCGTATAAGTAATAAACTTTAACGCCAAAACATTTATTTGATATGCTTGTTTGTTGGATGTTTTTCACCCACGCAAATTGTTTACAAATTGTAAAAAAAAAGATCCTGATCAAGAATACTTATATATACTTGATATAGGCAAAAACCGTTTTTTTAACCTGCATATTCCTTTTAACGAATAAAAACCAGTTGAGTTGCACTTCTGTAACTCGAAATGCCAATAAGTCCAAATAGTATTATTGGCAATAGAATGGACACATAAATGCCCAAACTTTTATGGTTCGAAATAAGTATTGATTTATTTTTTAACCAGCAATTAATTTTATATTTTTATTCCTATTACAATTTATATTTATGAGCAGAAAATCGTTGTCAGAAATCGCACAAAAAGTCTAATTGAATGCATATAAAGCCCTGTGGCCAGAGTGTTAAATAACAAGTTTAATGTTAAATAACAACATGTTAAATACATGAGCATGTTTTCTTACCATTAAGTTAACATTCAAGAGTCCTCGCTTACTTAGCCGAGACAAAAACCGGTTGCTTGGAACATTTTCGCGCCCATTTTCAAAAATACTCGATAAGTTCCGATAACTAAACACGGTCATACTAAAATGTACCCAATGTTAGCCGAGCCGCAAACCATAGCCTGGAAATTTTAGTGTGCCCATATTCCCGTGATTTGTGTCTCGGCTAACCCTTTCACAGTCAAGAGGAAGAATTCAGAGTTGCACGGAGAAAACATCGTCTAACTATCGCATAAAAGAGCCCGTCAAAGTCCGTCAAAATTAGGGATGTCGAAATATTTAAAAATATCGTATCGATGATATTTTATATTTAAACAAAAAATCAAAATGATATTTGATATATCAGAAAAAAATATCTATATATCAGATTTTTTTGATATTTTCGTTTTATTATTTTTTTTTTTAATTTTAAGCTGCATAAGAAATAACCACTAAACATTAACCCACATACGATCTTAAATTATATTTTTATAATTTTTAGTTTATATTTATTAATTAATGTTTTTACTTATAATATTAAAATCTAGTATTTCCCGCGCTTTTTTTTCTTGAATTCTTAATGCTATGCTATGCATTTTCACTTGCCGAAAAATATCATTTTTCACATATGGGACGTTCCATATCAACCCGGCCACCCCCTTTTTTGATTTTTTTTGTATGTGGACAGTACCACATTGATTGCAAAGCCCCTTGCTTCCAATATTTTACCTCATACCCATTTTTTCAATGTTACCACTCTTTCGCCGTATATTCGCGCTGAAAGGAAAACACAAAATCATTTTTAACCTGCGAACGAAAGGCACAATCAGCATAGTTCAAAAGCAGAAAAATCTGTCTTTCGATGGCCGATTACGAGAAAAATAATAGATTTTTTAAGACCGTAGATGACCAAACGATAGCGTTTTTTAAAGTCTAAAAGTAGGATTTCGTCTAAAGGGCCAGTCTGCAAAAATACCATTATATTTTTCTCAAAAGGCCCGAGTTTTAACGGATTTTATGCCACTGGTTTCAAAGTGGGATCTCTCTTGAGGAATTAGCTATGAATTCTTTTCTTTGATTTGTTAATTTTTTCCAAAGCATATACGATTATTTTATATTACTTATTAGCTTTTTCTGACAGTTAACTACTACAAAAACGTACAAAAGAATTCATAGCTAATTCCTCAAGAGAGATCCCACTTTGAAATCAGTGGCATAAAATCCGTTAAATATGGGGCTTTCTGAGAAAAATATAATGGTATTTTTGCAGACTGGCCCTTTGGACGAAATCCTACTTTTAGACTTTAAAAACGCTATCGCTTGGTCATCTACGGTCTAATAAAATCTATTATTTTTCTCGTAACCGGCTATGGAAAGACAGGTTTTTCTGATTTTGAACCATGCCAATTGTTTCTTTCGTTCGCAGGATAAAAATGATTTTGTGTTTTCTTTTTACGCGATTATACGGCGAAAGAGTGGTAACATTGAAAAAATGGGTATGAGGTAAAATATTGGAAGCAAGGGGCTTTGCAGTCAATGTGGTACTTTCCACATAGAAAATTAAAAAAAAAGGGGGGTGGCCGGGTTGATATGGAGCGTCCCATATGTAATTTTTCTTGTCCCGATGAAAAGTGAAATCACTTAAAATTATCAAAAACATGTGAAAAAAAAAATCGATGATATATGATAATTATTCAAAAAAAATATCACGATAAAAATATTTATTTTTTCGTAAAAAATATCGATATATTGATATTTTGATATATTTTCGACATCCCTAGTCAAAATTGGATGGCGGACTAACAAGGAAATTTTCGGAACGGCAAAACCGATCAACGGATGGTAGATGGAGCTCTGTGGGAAGACCCTATTACTGTGCCCATATTCCCGTGTTTTGTGTCTGCTAACCCTGGGTACATTTTAGTATGACCAACGGTTGTACTATCGATAGTATCTAATAAACATCGATCCATGTTCCACCACTGCTCAAAATGCAAATAGTATAGTCTTCGAAAAGTAAGTCTGCAAAACCGCTAAAAAAAGAGGGGTAAACTCAACGGTGCAACTGTTGGTGGCATGACGTGAGTAAATATGCAGCCGGTGCATTGAAAACACAAATCAATTGCAATAGGGCAATAGGAATTGATTGAAAAGGCCAGAACAACACACACAGAAAGGAGAGTCATCATCGGCATTTGAGAGAGAGCAGCGGCGAAGGAGAAAGAAAATATTCTCGTGGCAAGCGACGTCGAAAAATAGCGCATACGCAAACTTAACGTGATTTGAGAACGTTGTGCCCGGATTTATATCTTTTGTGCGGGCGCCAATCTAAGCAAAACCAAAAGTCACTAAAAAAACAATAAAACGCAATTTAAAATACTACTCAGAGTGTGTGTAAGTAGAAAAGTGATTTCCGAGTGGCGTGATAAACACGCACACACGTGCGACGCTGCCCTGCCTGTGTGTGTGAGTGCCAGTGAGCATTTGTGCAGTTTTGTGAAAGTTTTGCGAAAGTTTTATCAATTAAAGCGCACCGTAGACTATCTAAAAAGAAAATTCCGAGAGTTCCGAGAACAAGTAGATATAGAAGAGAAACGGAAAAGCGTGCTGACGCCAACGCAACATTTTATTTTATGCTGGTATTACGTGTGCGTTTGCGTGCGTGTGTGTGCGTGCGTTCTTATTGGCAAAACGTCATTTTATATAATCGGTGATTTGTTTCGATCCGTGATCCATTGGCTGATTTCTGTATTTTATTTTGATAATCGTTGCATGTGCGCCCACCAAAATCCCGCCTCCGCCGTCTAGAACTGAGAATAAAGCTCTCTGAAACACAAATCCCTAGGTAAGTCAGGACTTGGTTCTCTCTTTCGCCGGCTTCCCTTCCTTTTTCGAGGATGTCACGCCACCTTATCTATGTACGAGTATTTACCCAATAAATTTTCTTGGCCAGGAGTCAACATTCCCCCTCTCTCTTGACCCAATTTAAAAGCCTTAGGGCTGGTGCAAGCCCAAGTGCACTTTCCTTATGCAATTGGTTGCCATTGGCAGCCCAGACTTATTTTGTTTGCCGTTTGTTTATTGATTTGTTTGGCTTTCGCCACTGGATTACAGTCGGGCATCTTCGTTTTACTCGAAAAACAATAAAAAAAAAATCCCTTTAAATGACACATTAAAAATCTCTGAAAAAGTATGTTTCATTTTCCCTTAACAAAGATAACTTTAAATAATTTCTTAATCAAGTGTACTCTGTATTTTTGTTTAATACCACATGATTTTTGATTGCGCCTAAAATTGTGTTTGTAAATATTTCTTTAGAAAATATTTACCTACTTTACAATATTTTCTGTTTAATTTTTGAATTTTCATTTACGCTTTGACCTTACAAATAAACAAATGAACTTCAGTTTATAATGGGATTTGAAAAATGTCTGCTTAAAGTCCAGTAACGCGGAAGTATTTAATGTAATCAAAAATTTCATTGGACTTTAAAAAGCTTAAGTTGTATTACATTATCTTTAATCGCTCTGAACCGAAAGTTCAAACAATTCGACTTGTTGAGGCTTGACTGTATTTTACGACTGCCTTACCGTTATTTTTAACCTGTTAATTGCATTCTTTCCCAAGGCAGTTTAAATTGTAATTAGATGCGAACAGAAGGGTCCCATTCCATTATAAACCTACGCACATAAACAAAATATCTCACTTGCTCGCTCTCTCCCTCTCTGTCCTTCGCTCTCTTGGTGGATTTCCCCTACTTGGCTTGCACGTGTAATTTTCTTGTAACGTGCTCTGCGCAAACTCGCTCTTATCTCTCCCCCTCCCTCTCGCTCGCACCCTGGATATATCTCTCTCTTTGTCTCGGCTTGTTATACCAACTGAAAATCATGCGAGTTTTATCTTTGTGGGCGCCGTGTGTCATCTGTTTTCAATACCTCGCGACCAGCTGAGCAGTGGGCGGTGGGTGGTGGGGGAGTGGGAGAGCCAGTTTGTGGGTGGGTTGCACTTTTCATGCCACGCTTTTGTTTCTAGGGCGCGGCTTCTACTTCTGGCCGGAAACGCGCCTCAGACAGCCGAGGTGGAAGCACTTAATAATCGAAATAACGCTCACATCCCTGTTGCCGGTAGTAGTTCCTCTCTAGGCGGGGGCACATTAAAGCCGTACATCAAACTGGGAGCGATTCAAAAGTTCAGCCGGATCAGATAGACCCGCGATAAGCAAGTTGAAGTGCCTACGTTCATAGGTCGGTGTAAAGGTAGGATCTAAAAAATGTAGGCCCTGGCACTAAAACGTTACAGCCAGTGAAGCTTTATCTGATAAAGTTGGTTTTAAGAAAAGTGTTAAGTGATAATTTCAATAGTGTAATGTAACAAAATAGTACTAAAACTTGCTTTAAATGAAGTCCCTTTAAGCCAAAATGTAATGATTCGTGATTCTAGTTAAACTTAAATATATATGTAGCTTTAAAATCATACTTAATATGAGTAATTTTAAATAAGAGTTAAAATTTGTAACTTTTTGTTTTAAACAATTTGATAGATTTAGAAGGCTCTTAGGGCCGTTTTCTCGTCCGTTTGTTAAATTTAAAGTAGGGTTAAAACCTTGAAATCGTGTAAGAAATCATTGTTTTATCCCTACTTTAAAATTAACAAAAGAACGAGAAAACGGCCCTTAAAGTTAAACCAAATTTGAAGGGTACTTTGTCCTCATATTACAAATCCATTTAATTTTTAAGTGTTAATTTTATTTACCATCTTATAAATGTCATTGAGTTATTGAAAAGGTAATCGAAACTAAATTTAATCTATATTGAGAATTCAAGAGGTACGGCTTTTAGGGTTATTGAATTGAGGAAATTAACTATTGAGATATTCTTTGGAATGATTGTTGATTTCCTTTTTAGTTACAATCGAACGACCATGTTCAACAATAATTTGTTTGAGTATTGCAGAACTTCTATGTCCTCTAAAGTTAGCTAGATTAATTGGACTTTGAAAGAGTACAACCGTATTTATATTTTAAGGCACCTAGTTAAACCCATCTTATTGGAATTTAAAAGCGGAAGAATTTCAAGTGGGTGTTGAAATGGCCATTGTTCCACCACCTGCAACGACTCCCTCCCACACGGAAAATGTTCACCTCGTGGGCGGGCCACGTTTGCCGGTCTCAGCTTTCATTCATGGCCAGACCGCCCAGTTTTCCGCCCGTCTCTCATTTGCGGTTGCCTCATGTAAACAATTTGCTCTTTGACCTTTTTACACTTTGCCCCTGGCTCTCTGCCCCTGCTTTCTCTCTCGCTCACTCGCTCTCCGCGCTGAAGCCAGAGTGCAGTACAGTACTCTCACACTCACATGCAGCCGGCTCTCAAAGTCTCTCGCTCTCTCTTCGCCGCATTATTCTTGTACTTTGTTTTAAGCTCACGGCGGCAACATTTCCCCTGAAACTCATACGATTTTCAGCTGGTATATCGAAGGAAAAACGTGCCACAGTGCTTGCCGCTTTGCCACCCAACAACCCCATAATGCCACCCCCCTCTTCGTCGATTCTTTTGCCCAGCGCCTCGTGACTTTTCCCATTGCCACACTGAACTATAAGATGTGGTGGTAGTATTTTTACAAAGATGAAACTACAGTTGTTTGTAGAAAAATATAAATAAAGTTGGAATCAAAGTCCCTAACGGCAGTAGACTATCCACTGTTTGTCATTTTTACGATCTGTATGTACCTTTTAATTATTTAAAAACATTTTTAATTACTCAAAACAATATTGATTTTAGTTTAAAATTAAACTTTCCATTATTAGATATAAAGTTATCAAGTCAAGTTCACTTTCCAAATATAAAAAAAATATATATTTAAAAAACGTGTTGTAATTTGATAGCCCCCTTAATTTTTACTGTGCAGCTGCAGTGGCTGAATCTCATTTTCCTTTCCCTATATTCTTTGTCTCATCGGGCGTAGAGTCAAAAATAGTCACGCGATGTCTGGGCGACTGATGCCCCCTACTCCGCCCACCGCCTGCCCTTAGCCGCCCCTGGATTTCGAATTGTAATGACAATCTGTAATCGGCCTGTTGCCCAACCCCCGTTTTGGCAGCTTGCCAGCCCTTCAACAGCTTAGCTTTACCGTTATTTTTTCGGTTTGTCCGATGCAACAGCTGCAGATTGCGCTACAAATCTACTCTTAACAAGAGAGAACGCTATAGTCGGGTGCCCCGACTATCAGATACCCGTTACTCAGCTAAAGGAAGTGCGAAGGAGGAGATAAAAACTTTGATCCGCCGTAACTTTTTAACGAATGGTCCGATTTAAAAAATTTCTTCTACATTTCGATAGGTATTGATAAACACCACAAAACTGAATTTTTACTTTTCCGAAATATTGAAATTTTTTAAATCGTATATTAGCGATTGTGGGCGTTAGAGGGGGCGTGGCACCCTTTTGAAACAAACTTGCGCTGCGTAGGAACTCCTAGAATCTGCATGCAAAATGTCAATCTTCTAGCTTTTATAGTTTCCGAGATCTCAGCGTTCATACAGACAGACAGACGGACAGACAGACGGACAGACGGACAGACGGACATGGCTAGATCGACTCGGCTAGTGATCCTGATCAAGAATATATATAGTTTATAGGGTCGGAAACGCTTCCTTCTACCTGTTACATACTTTTGCACGAATCTAGTATACCCTTTTACTCTACGAGTAACGGGTATAAAAATGTTCGCTTTGTTATTTATGTAACGGCAGATTTAAATTGAATTAAATGACTTTTGGGGTGACTTCTAATGATCAAATATATATTTTGGTGTTATTGTTTTCGAATTCCATATTGTTTAATATTATCAAATTCACCTTTCATATATTTTTTCATAGTGTTTAATTCGTAAACGCTTTAATTTCTTGAAACGATGTTTTGGTTCCCGTTTCTATTTCTGGTTGGCATGCCAACCAAATTTTGTACCTTGTTTGCGGCTTAATAAAGTTCTGTGTTTGGCAAGCGGCAGGTTTAGAAAACAAGTCGCTTTTTTCTTACTTTCAGTGGCAGTGGCTTGGAAAGCAGGGGGAACTGAATACCGGTAATAAAAGAGGTAGTAAAAGCCCCTTCGATCTAAGCCCCTGGATCGTATGAGCATTATTTGTGTTTGTTTTAGTCATGACTTTGGTAGATTTTCTAACCGGTTTTCGCGCAGTACCGCTTCGATTAAACCGGGCTTTTGACTTTGCCTACTGCCCCCACCTCTCGCGATCATTGCCAAAGTTTGTTTTCCTCTGGAAAATTTCACTCGAGCACGTGCTCGCGGTTGATGGTCACTCTAAAGATAAGTACTCGCTTGTCTAGGTCATTTATTTTAGCGCTACGCGGCTGCCTTACTTTCACACACACACCGATTTACATAAATATCCCGAGCATTCATGCGAAGTGAGCGAGTGCAAAAGAGAGTTCGCCGATCTTTCTTTCTCTCTGCGGGTGTGTGGGTGGGTGTAGATCTCTCTCTCCTTTCTCTCTTTCTCCGAGGCGGTAATCAAATTTATTTTCAGTTCGCCTCCAAAACACACCCACACACACGGTCACTCGGTTGTTGTTTGTTTGGCATGTTTGTTTCTCTTTCTCTGTGGCTCATTTTCATTCAATGAAATATTCAACGCCCCGTGCAAATGTTGTTCTCACTTGCTGATGCCTCTGAAACCACACAGGGAACATTTTTGTATAACTGCCTCTGGATTCTAGAGTTTTCATTTTAAATTTAAATTCTTTACTATAAGTTTAAGATCTTAAGTTACTGGCTTGGAATCTGGATTTTAAGCATCAGTTCTGAAGTGATTTTTCGAATAAATGGTATCTT